AAACGAAACCGAAATTGTGCATGATTGACTGTAATAGTATTAGGACCATAAAAATTACTCACATTTACAGCCGCCTGGCCTATCGAAGAAAAATTCTAAAATATAGCGTAAAGAGCAAACTCTTTGCTAGTGTCCATATTTGCGCACGCTCAAACAAAAGTGAATAAAACAATCACAAAGCTGTCAGAAAAACTTTTTTAGCACAAAATATCATCTTTTTAATGCCATCTAGCGGAACCCGATCGGACTTATATAACGGGGGATACAGACAAATAACGCCATCTATTGAAAAAAATAATGGATTGCTTTGTACTACACCTAATACAATAGAAACAATCAGAATTTCTTTTGATATAAACTACCAGCTCTAATCGAACTGAACTTGATGTCCATGTCAAACCTTTTTTTAAATGTTTTGGTTGAATAAATACTTGAAAAGGTTCGCTAGGCCGTTCCGACTCTTTGCACTCTTTGCGGCCTTATGCATGAGGTTAAGATTATAAAAAACATTTTCCAATTATACTCGTAATACGATATTGATGTGAATTTCGTTTAGCCATCTCAACGTAACGTCAACACTTACAAATTAGTGCATCTCCAGATGTGATGATATTTTTTTCTTTTGTACTCTCAGATTATGAAAATGAGAAAATGTCTCTTTATATATAATTGAGCACTCTTAAATTTTATATTATTTTTGAATTTAGTACTCAGTTTACATCTATTTACATATGTAAGCATTGAAACTTTTAAAGAATTCCACTTAAGTACTTCCGCATGAATTTGATAGAAGAAGAAATTAATTGTGATGTGCCACCAATCAAATGACTACTGCCTCTTAGAGATACTGAAAATTTTTAGTCAACATGATTGACGTAGTGAAATGCGTATAAAATTTTCTTAAAGACCATCTGGTATGTATTTCATAGCTTCTCAAATTTGGTTACCATTGGTGTTTCTCAGCGTTACTGTTGGCATGGCGATTTGTATGTACGTAATAAATGGTTTTAAATTTCAACGAAAATATGGCATAATCAAAACAAACGTACAAACATTTGTGCTTAAACGAAAAGCACAATAAAGCAGCTTAGCACTGAAGTCGCCACCGGCTACCAGCACTACCACCAGCCAGCGCCATATTATCCATTACGGTACACTATAAAAGATTGCAACATATTTACGCGCATCTGCATACATGAAAGTTAATTAACGGCTTATGGTGGCACGGTTGATTGTTTAATTACCGTTGTTGGTCTTATTCCGCTGTGTTCTGCCTTCTATAGTTGCCAAGTTCAGTATATTATTATACTGCAACCTTTCCGCCACTACCAGCTCCACTTCATAGCGCACAATTCCGCCAAAAACAGCAGAAAGAACGAGTTGTCTTTTTAATTCGTGGCTTTTTTAAGGCAAATGCGTTAATTTCATATTCATTTCCGCTTAACTGAAATAATTTATATGTATGTAAAACCCAACATTTCGGTATTAAAAAACGTAAGCGAAAATGTGTTCCGGTTGAAAGGTGCGCAATTTGTGTTTATTATACGAGTATAATCTGATGAAAGTTATTAAAAAAAACTAGTAGTTGTAGGCAGAAGCAAATATTAGAAATCCAGTCCATTCAAATAATCAGAGAAGCCATTTAAATTGGGTTAGCCCGCCGTACTTGACTGTATAAGAACTGTGTCAATCCGAGCGCCGGGTACTAGAGATACCGATGAAGAAACTACAATAGAAGTCTGATAAAGTATTAGGTTGTCAAATGTATTTTGAATTTCGCGGCTATGTTTAAAGTGCTACAGAGCTCGTATCTATGCATGATTAGTTTGGATATTGCGTTCAACAGTTATAGACGTGTAAACATGAAGTTCACTAACACCGAAATTCGCGCTTTTTAAAAGTTTTTCTTCGTTAAAGGCAAATCCGCTAGAGAAACGTTCCGTGAGATTAATGGTGTTTTGGGGGATGGTACTCTATCACTTCGAACCGCGGAGGAATGGTTTCGACGATTCAGAGCCGGCGAAAACGACACCATGAATAAGCCTGCCGGTGGAAGACCTGTGACGACAAATACCGATCAAATCATGGAATACATCGAGTTAGACCGGCATATGGCATCTAGTGACATCGCCCAGGAGTTGGATGTTTATTTTTATGTCGCTTTGATGGACCAGTAAGTATTTACTAGAAGCCGGACCATCACCTTGACACATCAGGAACAAAGCACTTGGCCATGAGTAGCGCGTTCAATTCTACATATAAGAACCGTTGGCCATTAACATGAGAATGTTAACAGTTTTTTAAACGCCCTTCGAACGAAGTTCTTGGAGTCAAGCCACCACCCATTGCAGACGAAGAGTTCGAGTTGCCTTGAGAGTACCGCGTTATACTGGCGCATTTAAGATTTGGGCACCGTATTCGAATAAACTCCTACCAATCCTGATTTGACCTCGTCAAATCCAATGCTAGTTCTGCAAGTAATGAGTGCTCGCAGGACACTTAACACCTCCTTGCATGCACCTTATATAGTCAACTCATCTAGCCCCCGTTTCTTTTTAATCCTAATCCATCGAAATAGTGCGTTTCCTGTTTCCCCTTAACTGACCTCAATGACAAAGACTGAACTTGTCTGCCCCTGAGACTTTCCGCTACAGCAACATCAACAATAAAGCGATTTCTATCAATTTACTTCACTTCACTAAGGATGTCACTGTAACTCTGTTGAAGTCCAAAATTGATGAAAACCCACAATGGACACATGGCTGTATCGGGAAGATTAAGTAATCAGCTGGGGTACACGTAGAAATCTGCTCGATGGGTACCATGAATTTCAAATGGGACCCAAAAAGAGGCTCGAGTGCATTTTGTTCGATTTTTCCTAAACAAATTCGAATATGGTCAGTCCAGAAATTTTAATGATTTATTACAAAAATCAGCAGCAAAAATAATGATGACAGATTAGTTCATGCTATCTGAAATCGTAGCTCCAAACCAGTGGAAAGGGGTCAGACAGCAACTAAAAAAAATGGTAAGCCGAAGAGTGCTTAGCAAAAGTCTTCAAAAATTTGTGGGGAAAACAGGAAGAAGGAGGATTTGCGTTGCTACTTTTTACATCATGACAACGCGCCATCCCACATTGCTATAATAACGAGTACTTTTATTGCGATATCTGGGATCGAAGAAATACGTCCAGCACCATATAGCACCTTTTGATTTCTGGTTAATTAAAGGGAAAGATCTTCAATAGCAAAGAGGCGACATAAGCTCGAAAAGCAAGATTTTAAAGAAAGTTTTCAAAAGTGGATTTATAGGCTTGGTGATTATGTAGAGAAGACGGAAAAGGACTAAGATTACTAATAAATTTAAAACATAACAAAACAGTGTGGTGCTTCAAGTGGAGAGGTTTGTTTGCCTTGCATCTAACTTATATATAAGTCAAAAAAAAAAATTAAAATAAAAAAAAAAATAAAAAAATATTTTTTTGTGGTCAACTTTTTTTCAGGTCATTGTTCTATTGAATTGCTTTTGGGTTTTTAGTTTTATGGAACTATCTCAGACTATATGTTTTTGGGAATAAGTGAAAAAATTACAACAACAGTTTTGGACGGTAGAAGTTATAGCTGCTGTTTCGGAAGCTACCACTTTCCTTCATCATTCTCCTTTTTCCAGACACCTTTGTTTGAATTGGATTCGAACTTGAGATGCCCACAGCACGAGCCAGTGGTTATCCCATTAAGCTGCATGTGTGCCGCTTTCACTTTTGTTTCTTTTCACTTTTCCCCTTATTTTACCTACATATCTGCTATCAAATGCTCCGATATTCTATTTATTAATCCCATCGTATATAATAGGTTTGTTTATTGAGTTGATCTAGCTCAAAAAATTGTGTTCCATGAAAACTTTTTTGCTCTACTTTTTGGTTCATGAGTCTACTCTAAGCAGAAATAGAGCAACTCAGATCACAATTTTCTGCTCTGACTTTTTTGGTAGCGTAAATTGGAGCAAGCAATAAGATTTTTTTACCGACGAGTTAAGAAAACGAGAGCAGGCAAAATATACGAAAGGGATGCTCACGGGGCACAACAAACGTCATAAATACAAGTGACGATAAAAATTATAAATTTTACTAAGAAATATATGAAAGAATCGTAAAGTTTTTCTATTTTGTTTAAAACAGAAAAGTCAAACATTCCCATTTGAAAATTGTTGTCCGAAAAATGTTTCATGAGCTTTTTGCTCCGAGTTGCTCTAACTTGCTCTATTGTTTTTTTTTTGCAGTTGCTGTATTCTGCTCCAACATGAGTAGCTCTTCTTCATTTTCAGTTTCAATATAGAAACCGAATACCAATGAACAGCATTTAATTCTTCTAATGGACTTCATATTATTATTAATAATAATAATGTAGGAATAATAAAACACTCTTATTTCTTATTCAATGTGTATTAGATGTGTATTTATTGAAATTCAAATAGCAACTGTCCTTTTGGTCTTCTATCTAGTACGCGTCTCGTTCATTCGTTCAGGTAGTATTGCCTATATTCAGTCTGGTAGGGTTGTATTTTATAGTAGTCTTAAGTTAATATTATATTAGTAGTAGTCTTTTAGTATGTCCGTCCGCCTCGAGTAGTCAGTCCGTGTTTACCTCCTACAATAATAATAATAATAACTCTCAATAGTGCATATTGTCGCCCTGGTTTATGGGTTTGTCAACACTCATTTCTGACTCTTCTTTATTTTCATTTAGACTGCTTCAAATATAATAAGTTTCAAGTTATTTTAATTTTGCAACTTTAAATCCATAATGAGAACCTAAAAAAAAGTTAAAAAGCTCTTCATACAAAAATCTAATTATTTTACTAATTTGTTGTTGCTTAGCAAAATATACGCATGTATGTGTGAGTTTGAAAGCAGGCAGCGCTTTTCAAAAAAATGTACACTTTCACATTGCTATCTGTTTTTCATTATTTCATCATTTATTTTTCTTTCCATATTTTTCCAGCTATGGCGATATGTGATATGTTGACAGTGATATTTCCGGCGCCGGGACTGTGGTATATGTACACATTCGGTAATCACTACAAGCCTTTGCATCCGGTATCAATGTGTCTGGCATATTCTATATTTAATGAGGTGAGTAAATTTGAAATGGAAAATGACAAAACATTACCAAAGGGATCTTAATGAGCGCTTGATAGTGTTGTCAGTTCGTGTTGACAATGTCAACGTTTTATTTTACAAAAACAAAAGCACTTAATTGCATTCTACAATATATATAATATGTATTTACATATGTACGTATGTATATTCGATGTATGTATGTGATTTCCTCTCTCCTCGCTTGTTTTAATTAATTTGTGGAATTTCCACTTACAAAATCAAAAGAAAAGAGGAAACAAGAAAGGAAGGTTAAATTTTGGTAGTTCTGTGGTACAAGGTTTACCCATTTTCGAGAATAAAATTTATTATAAAATAAAATGATTTTGAAATAATAATATTCATGAATTTTCCTTTTATTATAAAGTTTGACACTTGGCATTATACGTGTATTCTTGTAAACTTGGCACTTTTAGGGCAGTATCTCAGCCATACCTGACGAATATTGGTTTTCAAGTGCTCAAGAGCGAATGGTTTATACGCATAACACAGTCCTTCGCGTTGCCCAGCAAAAAAGTAAGGAGCCGACGGTGCCAAATCACACGATCTAGGTGATCAATTGACATCGCCAAGATGAGGTGCTAAGCGGCCGTGCTCCGAAGTTATGATATTATACTTAGCAGGCTAATTCCATAGAAATTGCACAGACTGTGTGCCTCCCTTTTTATATGGATTGGGCAGAGCAAACTAAAATTGAAATATCGTCGGGAATGATTTTTTAACGGTAAGCCATCAGCTCCAATCGCTTTGTTGTCCTTTAAATAGAAAATCGCTTTTCGAGTTTGCTAATCAATTATCATCGAATAGAATTTTGTGTTCGTCGTCACCGGGTGATTCCTCTGCTGCTTAGCAGACTCGAGAGGTGTTTCCACCATAAATTAAGTCTAGTCTGAACATCAGTCGTAAAATCAGCTCTGTGAGTCCTACAAGCGTTTGATAAAATCTTCGAACTTTCTATCATTCGCCGTATTTTTTCAGAGAATTTTCACCCCTGTCTACCAGGATCTCAATTTTCTTTGTCTGCAAGCGCGTCTTGGTTTCCTCTTGCGCTCTCAGTATCTATCTCATCCTGCACGTGTTATGATCGATCGCAGTGGATGTAGCTGGTTTATGAAGGGGTAGTACGTAGGAAGCTTGAGATGCCGTTCCATCGTTCCTCATAGCGAATTGTTGCTCTCAGAAAGCCGGTGGGCAGGATTATCGGAAAACTTTTCGGCAATATATTTTAATTACAGCTTGTCGTCGTCGAACCCTCTTTGCGTATATTGACGAGTGTTCTTTGATACACAGAATAGTGATCGGTGGCGATCTAGAACACATCGATATATGTCTTCCGTCTATCACTACCTGATCAATAACATTGTGAGTTTTTTAATCTGAAGACAGCCAAGTAGCTTGGTGAATTTCTTAATCCGAAATCTAGTACTACAGATAATCATACTTCGAGCAAGGCGAAGTCGTTCAGCCTCAACCTTGTATTTGCTGATAGTTGTGACGAAGATATCTTCTTTGCCTGGCTTAGTGTTGAAGTCCCTAATCACAATTTTGAAATCGTTGCAGGGGCTTGGTTCCTAAGTTTGTTCTACGCGTTTCTAAAAAGTAACTTTGGTCAATTCGTCTTTCTTTTCCGTCGTGGCATGAGCCCAAATCAGCAATGTGTTGAAAAGGTTTATTTTGTTGCGGATTGTGCCGAGTTCTTCATCTACCACTGTGAATGGCAGTGCTTGGCGAGCACCAAATTTGCCTTTTTTGAATGACCCCTGCAGTGGATTGTGCAAAAACCCGTTTTCTTCTGCTTTTGTCCCTTCATCAAGCCATGAGCCCCAATCGTGATCTTTTCGTCATCAAAAGAGTGGTCTCTCAATAAGCCCAGCACACAATCTTGCGAGAGGATTAGGTTCCCCTTTAGTACACATTTATATAGCGAGCTGATCTTCGGAGGCGATGCTTCCTGGCAGCCATAGCTGCAATTAAACTCTAAACCCTTAACTGAGTATGCCGAGGTGGTTCCACTGAAGTTTTCTCTCTTTCAGCTGTTACTCACATTCCCACAGTTCGCGTCGTTGACGCAAAAGTAGGAATTAAGTACAGTCCCGCGTCTGCAACTGCTTACCCAGACGCTTGACTACACCTCTTTACCTTTCTCTAAATATGAACTTAAATCAAATTAATTGCAGATTGCTCCACTACTCTTCACCACACTATATTTTATGTAAGCTAAATAAACTCGTGTTGAATTCTAATTAAAAGTTAAGTAAAACGGCAATTTAAATTCCAGGAATTCTACATAAGATTTTTATTTTGGTATGAGGCTTATCGCATACATATACGCATACATTTTTGTATGTGTGTAAATTTAAATACATTACGAAACAATATATATTATATATATATTTGCATGGCGCAGGTCGACTGGTATATACAAATTCTAGCTAAATACTAGTATATTATGCTGAAGATGCAGTCATACCCGCTGGTTATTTGTATAGCATTTCACCGGAATTCACCAATAAAGGGAATAATAATAACTTCAACCACGAAATGTTGTTTTTATATCTAGTATACCATGGCTGGGCTCCATTCCCTGATACACGCTGTTGAAATGTGGGAAAGGATGTAGATGGCCGCAACGCCGTGAAGAAGTTCTCGAATCGAGTCTCGTTGCAGGCAAATTCATTTCTATCATTGTTGAAGTAGATGTTAAACACGCCTAAATAAACTAGTATTTAACTAGTATGAAGATGAGTCTCAATCCGACAATAGAGTAAGATGAACTAGCTGAAGCAATAATGCCAATTAGTTGGATTCTAGTTGAAGATTGATAAATTTCTATGAAAGAATATACAATGATAATTATACTTAACGAAGCTCATATTTATGGCAAAATATTGAAAATATTGGTACACACTGCTATAGGCAAGTAACTTTATAGGCTATATATATAAAGCCGATAAATATTCACTACGAGCTAGATGCCAAATGAAATGAGTGAAATTTTCTCATTTTCCAAGAGGTTGGTCAAGAATGATAACAACTTTAGCCAGGTTGAAGTGATTTCTTTTCTTTTGGCTTTTAGAGAGAATCACTAATTAATCAATGGTGTGTTTGGTGGTGACAATATTAATAACTCCATTCCTTCAACTTCTTATTTTATTCTTACTTACTTACTTCACTGACGTAGACACCGCTTATGCGATTATAACCGAGTAAACAACATTGCGTCACTCATTTCTTCTTTTCGCTATTAGGCGCCAATTGGAAATACAAGGTACAGCTAGGACTTTCTCTTCCTCTACTTCCACCGTCGGGACTGCATCGAAAATTTTCACAGCTGGAGTAATCTTATACATCCGGACTACATTACCTAGCCAGCGCCGTCGCCGTCTCTTGGATCGCTGAACTATGTCAAGATCACTGTATACCTCGCCGATCCCAACTCGTAGAGTAACATAAATCTTACGCAAAACTTTTCTCTCGGGGACTCCGAAGGCCGACTCATTAGATGTTGTCATCGTCCATGCTTCCGCCCCACGTAGCAGGACGGGAACGATGAGGGACTTGAGGAGTTTGGTTTTCGTTCGTCGGGAGACGACTTCACTTTTCAATCGCCTACTCAGTCCGACATTGCACCTGTTGTCAAGAGTGATTCTGCGCTGGATTTCCAGGCTGACATTTTTATTGGTGTTGATGTTAGTGCCTAGCTAAACGAAATTACTTACGACCTCGATGTTATGGCTGTCAACAGTGACGTGTGAGCCAAGTCGCGAATGTGATAACTATTTGTTTGATAACAGGAAATATATAGTATTCAGACATGGCGGCGTAGAGGCAGCTCCTTTTCGTGCTGTCTAAGGCGGGTGTAGAATGGACGGAGAGCTAGCGCAGGGTGAATATCTGGGCAATGGTTGACTTTCCAGGTCTGAGGCCACACTAATAAGGTCCAATCAGTTTGTTGACGGTGGGCTCCAGTCTTTCACACAATACACTTGGAAGGACCTTAGAGGCGATGTTTGTAGGGCTTTTCACACGGTAATTGGCTTCTTTTTTTTTGTCGATTGGGCAGAGCACACTTAGGTTCGAATCTTCGGGTATGCTTTCATCAATTTTATTACCATATTTTGCAGAGAAGCTGTTGCATGCTTTTCGGACTTCTTCACCGCCGTATTTGAATAGCTCGGCCAGTAATCCATCGGCCTTCGTCGCTTTGTTGTTTTCGGACTTCTTTATAGTCTGGCAACGGAACAACTTTTCCTTGATCATCGATTGGAGTTTCGGATTCACCTTCTCTTCTTCAGGCTGGATAAGTGTTCCCTCCATAAATAAATATAGTTTTGTTTTGTTCAAAATTACAATAAAAACCATTCAAGTTAGTTTGTTACTAAAATGGGATAATTTTTGTGGGCTTGCCCACGTATAAGTGGTCATTTATCTAAATGGGTAATTTTATTATTCTTTAGTTTTAAGGGATTTTATGGACAAGTGGGCTTTAGAAACATACAAAATTCCTTAACGAAACATAATCTTCCGCAAACTTTAGTTAGTTCTTTTTGAAATGTATCAGATTCGTATTTAATTAAATTTGTAGTTGTTTTAGTATGAGTAGGATATTTTTTAAAGCTAAAAAAGAAGACGGTTTATTGAAGATTGAAGCCTACGTACAAACGTCAGAAAACAGCTATCACGTTAAACACACACGCATACAAATACTTGTTCCATCGAAAAGTAGTACAAATATTTGCTGTACCTGTTCTGTGTATTCATATCAGCCTGTACATACATATGTACTTGTATGTACTCATACGAGTGTGCAAATGTATATCTGGGTATATGTACACATTTAATTTTTTAATCGCACCTACTGTACTGTGAAAGTAAGGTATAGCAAATTTGTACAACCATTAGCGGTGATAATTGCTTTAGCTATGCCCACTTATATCAGCCATCGCAATACAAACTGTCTATCTGGGAAAAAATAAATAAATCAATTGGTAGATGCCCTTGCGCGTCATAGAATAGGTATAATTTTAAAAATTAAGGGGCAATAATTTCTTAGCATACTATGATTGCCTATTATATAATGACAAGTTTGAAATTGATTTATGGAAGTTATACCAAGATTGGTTATAAACAATTTTCTTACTAAGCTAGATACCTTGTTTAATTGGAAATCGATTATACTATTATGTACGAGGGGTTTTGTCTTTTCTTGTCTCCTCTACATAATCGCTCATGTATTCAACGCATTTCTTAAGCCTATAGTTCCCTTTTCTAAAAATAGTCTATAAAATCTTACTTTTTAAGCTTTTCATTTTCAGCATTATTTTCTCCTCGTTGCTATTGAGGACCTTTCATTTAATTTTTTTCACAATTTTTGAAAACAACCAGAAATCACAACGGAATATATCCGGGAAATATGGTGCTGGACGTATTTCTTCGATCCCAGAGATCGCAGTAAATTTTTCAGCAGTGTGAGAATGCACGTTGTCATGATGTAAAAAGCAGCGCCACAAATTCTCTATTTTCTTGTTTTCCTAAAAATTCTTGATAAAGTTTGCTAAGCACTCTTCGGTATACCATTTTGCAGTTACCGTCTGACCCTTTTTCAGTGGATTGGAGCTACGATTTTATATCGGATGAACTAAGCTGACTTCATTACCTCTGCTGCTAATTTTTGTTGCAAGATTTCACGGGTGGGTGTGCTCCTGTTGGGCTCCATGCCGTAGACAGCTGTTTGATTTCTGGATCGTACTAATAGAACAAAGATTCGCCACCAGTAACGACTTTTCTAAAGTTGATGGACTCACCATTTTCGTAATTTTTTAGGAGAAATAGAGCAAAAGATATTCCAGCATATTTTTGGGCTTCATTTCAATTTCGTTGAACCTATCGAGCAGATTTCTTCTTGTATCCCATAATACTTAATATACGCGATACAGCCATGGCCAAATGCCCAATTCATTAGCAAACATTTCTTGCGTCAATCGTTGGTCTTCGTCAATCTTGGACTTCACCAGACCTTCTCACGGCTTGTCCTGTGCGGATAAATGTCCAATCTGGAATCTTTGGAACTACTTAGAAATAGTCTTTAAAGACGGTGCAATCGTTTCATATACAATTTGGCACTCACTGATTATTTTTATTGACGGTAAAAACCCGAAGAGAATCACATGGCCTAATAAAGTAATTGCAAAGGATTTGGTAATTTTAGATTTAACAAAAACAAATTGAAACTAACCAATTAACCTAACTGTATATGTACTATATACAATACAATATTGTACGAGGGGACTACCTACGGTAAATAATTATTTTGATACCGTAGATTCATTGAGGGTATCGACATTCCCTCATAGATTTTGGTATTTAACAAAATATTTGTTGTTGTTCTGGTTTGTATTAACCTATTTAAAAATTGGAAATAAGCTTCAATTTTTTTTTCGGGCTGTATTAATAGTTTATGTATTATTGACAGACTTCATATGGCACCGATCGAACCAACGGATCCTAACTCAAAAGGCGAGTCATCTACTGGTGTACCAACTTTAGCCATGTAATATGTTGTTGTATTATTCTGTTTATTATTAACCAACAACAACGCTATTTTCTTAAGAGCGTGGTTATTGAGTTGGCCCGATAATCCTGGATACCTTCAGGCGTTAATTATGACTGAAAAGAATGTATAAGCAGGATTAAAATTCGGGCTCAATTAATGTTTTAAATCATAAGATAATGTTGTGAAATTGTGGTTACCACTTTTTGGGATAACACGCCGCGGAAATGCTTCCCTTAAATGATTATGTGGCATGTGTTGTTTGAATGTAAACGTTGTCCAGATTCGGCCAAGAAAAATCATTAATCGTCTCTCTGTAGCGCAATCTATTCAGTATAACTCTTGCTCGAACTCATTTGCGAAAAAGTAAGGTTCAATGACTTCGCCAGACTATAAACTGCACCAAACTGTTACATGCTGACAATGGAAAGGCTTTTCACCAATAAGTTTTGGATTCTCCGAGCCCAAGATGTGACAGTTTTGCTTAGTGACGTAATCATCGAGGTGGAAATGGGACTCATCAGTCAAGATGAATTTTCGATGACTTTCCGGAAAATTTTAATACTTTACAGGGACCCAATCTGCAAAGACGGGACGTTGTTGTTGATAGGCCGGCTTTGAGTTCATGTGTGTTAATTGAACTTTATATGCTTTAAGAGCCAAGTTTAGTTTTTTAGTGTATTCGTCTCTGACAGGTTTTCGCCATTTTCCTAGTGCAATTTAATAAAATAATCCCAAAAGCTCACAACTTCAAAAGCGGCGTTTACCGGAATAGCAAACCATTCAAAATAAGACTTCTTATTTGGAAAACCTTTTGTATTAAAATTAGAGTTTGTCCGCAACTTCGTCCAAGTGGAAGTTTAATATGTTTGAAAAGAGATTTCTATTCGGTACTTACGTTACTTATTTTGTTATAGGCTGTAATATATGGAAACGAAACAAAAGCCCTGCACATATTAGCCTAGACGAAGAGCTTTGTGTGTTTCAAATTTCTGGCAAATCAAAAAATAATAAGGACTCTTTGGTATAAATCAGTCGAGAAAAAAAATGTCTCCATGCATTTTCATAGGCAAAGAAATATCTTTGTTCCAACACTAGATCATTTAATGGATTCCAGGAATGTTACCGACCTTAACCTAGGCCCGAAGCTACTTACCATGTAAATCGAACCATAAATACTATGCTTCGAATAGATCGTCCACAGGACCACTTCCCGTTAAAAAAGTATTAGCCTAATTAATCTAGGCACAACACTATTTCTGTAAAAAATCGTATTTAAATCAAAGGATTATTTATCCTTTTAAAAAATATCGATCCCAAGTTCACTTCCCGGTAGAAAAAATGTTCCCAATATTGATTAGGGCAAAGAGCTACTAAGTAATAAATTTCTTTAAAATCGAACGATTAAAAATTAATTCAGTTTTTTGGAATATACCCACATCCCCGAAAATTCTTTCTTATCCGATGCCTATGTCATACACAGAACACACTCTCTAAGCTCGGGATCTCTAGGATCTTAAACTTAGGCTGTGATCTCACCCGTCAGTCATTCAGAATAAATCCGTTTATATACCTACATAATCATACCTTAATCAACCAATCTCAAAACTTTCAAAAAAAGTTTTTTTTTTTAGTACGAAACGTCATCTTTCTAACGCCATCTAGCGGAACCCGAACGGTTGTATAAGCGAGATACAGATAAATAACGCCATCTATTGAAAAAATAATGAATTTCTTTTTGTGTCTTTTTTTTGAACTATTTTTTATTAAATATAAAATTAATTTTTTATTTTGGTTGAGCTAAAAACGCCTTCGCATCTGTACCATTTCTCAATCACGAAAAGATTTTTGATTTTTGAAGAGCGATACTTTTATAGGCAGAATTGAAATATTCAGTATTTTTTTAGCAGAATTTTTTGAAATTTTTCAAACATTTCGATGTAAAGCATTGAAAGCTTAATGGGACGTTTCTATGTTCAGTCATATTTCGTTTCATCCGAATAAAGCTCTTTGTTACTTGTTTATTATTTTGGGTAAATACACACCCTTTTGTAAACATTTCTCATTTTTTATGAACACTGCCTACCCGCATTGAAATGTGGTTCTTTGTGCCAATGCTGTCTATGAATTGCAATTTTATTTAATTTTTTATAGGTTTTATTCCTAAACAATAAAAACTCATATTTTATTGTTGTACTTTTTTTTTTTTAGATCCTGCCGGCCGTATGTCACACGGCGTCCATTTGGCTGACCTTGGCGCTAGCTGTTCAAAGGTATGTGTAAATATCGTAATAAAATGTGGTACGCACGTACATACACGTATATTGATTGCATTTTTTTGCAATTCGTTGTTAGTTGATAAAACGCGCGCTTTACCCTCGACATCCTTAGGTTCGATATGGAGTTTTATAGCCAAATACATGCGACGCATCCATAAAATTTCCATATTCAGCCCTGAGTAAACGGATGTGAATTTGTGAGTCAGTCAATAAACACACGAAAAACTATATCGATTATTTGTAAAATAAAATTATGTATACTAAATAAAGGGACATACTATTATCGACTAGACCAACTCGGCTAGTATGAAAATATATGGGTTATTAACTGGTGAAAACTGTTGTACACCTTACCGAAGCTATCGAAGCCGAATTGCTTTGACCAAATCTGTGAAAGTATTTTCGGAATACTCTGGACTCAGAAGAACTAAGTGAAAAGTCAAAGTTAGTCAAACGAGGACAGAGTCCATAAGACCTTGCAAGAATTATTCCACCATACTAAACGGAGTCTTTATACGCCAAAAATATATTAGGTAAAGTTAAAGGTTCGTTCGGTTTTTTATTGCGCCGCTTTGTTCCTAAACTTGTCCCCAGCGAGGAGCCAATTTCATTATACCCCTCTCGTAGAAGGCTGCGCCCCTATTAGCAAAAAACTCAGAGAGCCAATTTTCACAGGTATCTCTTGATGCCAACTTCTCACCATTAAGCGCATTCGCCATGCACAGGAAAAGATGGTAATCACTTGGTGCCAGATCCGGACTATCAGTTGGGTATATTAGGACCTCCAATCCGAGCTTCTCGAGCTTCTGGCGCATCACCAACGACGTGTGTGGCCTGGAGTTGTCCTGATGGAACACAATTCGCCCTCTGTTCATCAAAGATGTCCTCTTTTGGATGAGTGCTGTTTTCAAGCGGTCCATTTGTTGGCAGTGGAGGCCCCCATTGAGCGTTTGGCCATAGAAGAGCAGCTCGTAATAAATGATTTCTTGCCAATCTCACCAAACACACAGCAAAACCATTCCTGGCCGTCAATCCGGTCTTGGCTCCCGTCTGGGCCGCTTCCTCGAGCTTTGACCACGACTCGATGTTGTCGTAAGTGACCCATTTTTCATCGCCGGTGACTATCCGCTTCAGAAACGGGTCGATTTTGTCGCGATTCAGCAGCCATTTGCAGATGAAAATTCAATCCATCAAGTTTTTTTTTTTGCGTTAGTTCGTGTGGCACCCAAACATCGAGCTTCTTTTTGAATCCAAGGTTATGCAAATGGTTCCAAACGGTTTTCTGGCTTATCTTTAGTTCTTCAGCAATTAAATAAGTGCTCACGTGTCGGTCTGTTTCCATTATTTCCATTATTTTATCGCGATTTTCGACGATAGGCCTCCCGACGTGTGGTGCATCTTTAACATCGAAATTACCGGAACGGAACCAAGCAAACCACTTTTGTGCTACACGTTCGTTTACAGTATCGGGCCCATAAACTTAGTTTTTTTTTCAGCCGCTTTGGTTGCTTTTTCGCTTTGATCGAAGAAAACGAACTTTTTACTGCACCAATATTTGATTTTGTAGGAATAGTCTTTAATAAAAATTACTTTCTTTAATGATTATTTGCATGAACTTTGACGGGAGTTAAACCTGCTAGAGTCAAACTCAGCTCACCCAAAATCGAACGGAAATCACAAAAAACTCATATCGAGCTTAGCGCTTATAATACAGTCCGTTATTTATGATGTGTTAAGTAGCTCTTCGCTTCAAATTGAGGTACACAATCTGATCATCTACCGAACGAAAAAAAGTCAGACTGAAATGAAGACTGAAGCATCATAAATTTTTTCTACGGTAACCTGAGCTTCAGACTAGAGGAATATTTTCTGTTATGAACATGTTTACGAATTGGCTAAGTCATCAACTTCTCTTCACGAGTCCGACGCGGAGTACGTACTAAGTAAGCAGGGAATGATTAGGAGAGAAAGACAAAAATAATTTTAACAAATATCTGAGAATATATGGAAAATCATTTTCAACTATAAGACATGGAAGTTGGCTTAGCCCAAACATCACAGAAAAACTACTAAGGAGCTATTGAACAAACCAAAAAAATTAAAACCGGCAGTATATAAATCAGAGGTTATATTAAGCCTTCGAGCGTATATCCTCATTAAAAGTCATCGGCCGTTTGGTAGCGATTTAGTATAAAACGTAGATCTCTCCGAAAATAACAGGACGAATACCACAAATTGGATAATGAGTTCGAACAAAAACGGTTTAGCGGTTATAAAACGCCGACTATATACATTACAACCCTAAAGTTTCTGGAAATAGTAAATAATAATCAAAAGAGTAGTCCCAACGAATGTTCTCCAACCGCCCAACCGACACGAGAGGCGACATCCGTAGAATATGCGGAATATGCCGAGTCATGATTGGGAAGCGTTTTAAGAGTTGAGATTGAAAACTGTTCAGCTCAGAATTTTAAAACTTAATTGTTGAGAGAAGGAAATAGTTCTTTGGAGGCTAAAAAGAGAATCTGAAAGGTCGAAAGTGCTGGAATGAAAATCTTAATTGTAGCACAATCGACGGAAAAGTACATACAGTTCATAATTTGTTTTACATGACTTTAATAGTAAAGGGCTAAACTACCTTGATACACGAGTTGGAGCCCTTTACCTCAGACAAGAGACATGAACTACAAATTGATCCATTTTGAAGTTTCACTACGAACAATGCGCCTGGCATTTCTTTACGACTTGCGAGAGTTGGTAGAAAGATTTATCGTAGAGTTCCATTAAAGATGACTTAATGCAGAAATTAAAACTGTTTTTGAACAGACTCTAACTTATCGGGTTGAACTTGTTAATTGAGGTTCCATATCAGTGAACCATATTCTAATATTGGCCTCATCAAATAAAACGAAAAATTTTGAATCTTCACTTACTTTATTGCCTTCAACGTGTGCTCCTTCTGGAGCGTTACACATATGCCAACTTTTTTTTTTCAATCATCGAAACATGCCTTGGAGGCACTGTCCGGGATCGCCTTCAGTTCCCTCTGCAAATTTTCTTTTAAGGCCTCAATCGAGTCGAAACAAAAAAAATCGCATAAGGCCAAATACGGTGAATATGGTGGTTGAACGATGGTATTTAACGAATTTTTGCTCTTAAACTCGTTCAAAACTACAGCTCGGTGCGATGGCGTATTATCGTCATAAAAATCCATGAATTGTTGGCCCACAATTCCGGCCCTTTACGACGGATGTTTTCGCGCTAAGCCCCGTTCTGTCCCGTTAAAACGAATTCATGATGAACCAAACCGTGTTTTCGAAAAAAAACCATATCTGGAAACATTATGGTCTAGAGTCACAATTACAAGTCTTGACCTTTTGGAGAGCATATATTCAAAATGGATCTACCCTATAACATTTTCTACTTCCAATTTCTAGCATACAAAACTTGGTATCCAGGTAGTACCAAATTTTGAATAGTAGTCCACAAATGCCATATCGGATATAAGTAATTTCATTAATTTCCAAGCTTAGAAATGTCAAAGCAGATATATTAAACAACTAAGAGCCTTCGTGCAGCACTGATACTTACCTAATGGATTTTACTTTTTGTTGAGAAGGTGTTCATAAGAGAGGGAGAGAGAGAGATATTTCTTAGTATCTACGCTTGGAGGGTAGAAGAGAGAGGATGTTTCAGATAAGGGAAGAATGGTGTTAAATAATACCCTTGAATTTATTCATCGAGCCGTTTGGTTGTTAAAGGAGCCGGAGAATGAACTCAATAAGAATAAAATACAGGTCTTGCGGAATGATTACTCATTTGTCAACCTGGTAAAGGTATTTGACGAAACTAATGGTGAGTTACAGGGGAGTAATGGGACCAAATCTTCTGTGTTTGAGATGGTGCGAAATGCCCATTCCATTATTACGTCAAGAATTTTTTTGAACGCTGTGGCTGTGGAGCGAAGTGGCATTACTTAGGAAGTGGCAAGCAAGCATGCAAGTTACCGAGCCTTATACCAAGCACATCCAGCCTTAAACTAGAAATAACATTTTTTAAATTATTCTTAGAGTATTGAGCCCTGAAGGGTTTCATAAAATGGCCATTATTAATTGTAAAATTACTTAAATTAATTGGCGCAATCTGTTTATCTCTAAGCCAACAAGAAAAAAAATTGTTAAATGAATGTTAAATTATTTGTCATTAAGTATTCATAAATATTTGCATTTAATAATCGAGCAAATGATAAATGCAGGCTAAAGGCAATTTTACCAATTTGACAAGCAAAAACAAATACGCTTGTAAACTCATAAAAGTCTATAAATCAATTAAGTATAATATAGTAAGTGTATATTTAATTAATGACTTTGTAGATTATTCACACCGAAAGGATATTACCTAATTCATGATGTTATCAATTGGGTAAAGAGGTATGAAGCGGACTAAGCACGTACTGGTGGGTAAACTTTATAAATACTTGCAATCAAGAGCTGCTTCAATTACAGTCCACACAAAGTTTTCATAGGAAGGAAGAGAGCTCATAAAATGCCTGACAAAATACTGAAATTACGTAGTGCTTAAAACAGTGAGACACTTAGCATTTGTGTGCTTAGTCATTATGCTCTTACACACACCTTTTTCCTTTTCCTTTTCCTTTTCCAAGCCTGTCGTTTCGCTTACATTACGGCAATTATTTGCTGTTTTTCACTGCTGCTCTAATTTAGCTGGAAAAGGGTAGTACGTGTACTAGAATGCATTTCAATCTTTGGTAAGTAGGGTTCTTTCGACACACTTTCAAGGGGCATTATTTTAAGAGGTGTTCGTTACCATGACCTTCCGTTCCCACATCTTAGAAAATCTCTGACACTAAAGGTATTTGGAAACAATTTCAAGTTTTTTATGAGCATTACAAGCGAATTTTCCGATAGCTCGCCTAACCCTTTTCAGACGCTCTCTGACATGAGACGACTGCCGAAAGCATGTAGAACACGTTA